TGGTAAAAAATTTGATTTGTACCCCGGGTACCTTGTATGGTGTAGGGTACATTATGTGGGGGGTCTTTTGTAAGGGGGGTATGAATTAATACATAGGTACCGGTACCGTATGGTAAAAGATATCATACCGGTATTGATTTTTTTCAATATTTTTTTTTCGACTTATTGTATGTACGCTTTGTAATATGATTTAATTCTGTTCAAAAAAATAAAAAAAGAAAATGTTTGTGAAAAAGATTTTTATGATCCTACCGGTACCAGTAGTTTATAATATTTACATCTTACCGCCATGTCTTGCAAAAAAATTTTTTTTCGCAAAAAATTATGATTTTTTTTTTTTTTTTGCAAGAAATTTTTGCAATTTTTTTTTTTTTTTTTACACCTATAAAATATCTATTAAGTTGTTTGTTTACCAGTAAGTCGCGTTTTTTTTTTGAAATAAACTTTTACCTTTCTGCAATCTTAACAATGGTACTCTTAGAAAGTATTCTTACAACCAATCTTCAACAAAAACGGGTACGACATTGGACAGCCCGGGAAAAACTTTTTATTCTTTCTTACCTCGACAATGTACCAGGTGCTACTATACATGGAACAGCTAACAAATTTCAAATTGAAACCAAACAAATTCGGGATTGGAGAAATAAGCGAGAACAGCTACTATTAGCTCAACCACATGTTAAACGTCTTAATACTGGTGCTAAACCACGTTATCCTAATCTTGAAGAAGAACTCGCTAAATGGGTTCAAGCTTTGCGAGCTAAATTAAATCCAGTTAGCCGTTATATGATACAAACAAAAGCAGCAACATTAGCAAAATCTACACAATATATTTCTCAATATCCTGATATCAATAAGTTTAAGTGGAGTACTAAATGGCTCGAAGGTTTTTTACGGCGCTATAATTTTAGTAACCGTCGTAAAACAACTATTGCACAAAAATTACCAGAAGAATTAGAAGCACAACGACAAGAATTTTTAAATTTTGTCCAATATCGTCGTATTCAACATGATTACCCGTTATCATTAATGGGTAATATGGATGAAACCCCTCTTGCTTTTGATATGCCGAGTAGTGTAACTGTTGATAATAAAGGAAACAAAACTATTAGTATTCGAACTTGTGGTTATGAGAAATCTTGTTTTACTGTTGTGCTCGCATGTATGGCGAATGGTGTAAAATTAACACCGATGATCATTTTTAAACTAAAAAACGTTCTGCGTCTTCATTTTCCACAAGGTGTGATCATTAGAGCTAATGAAAAGGGATGGATGAATGAAGTAGAAATGAATTATTGGGTAGAAACCGTTTGGAACAATCGTACACCATGCTCTAGAAATCCACGATCATTATTAGTAATGGATTCATTTAAGGGTCATTTAGTTTCTTCTGTTAAAGATAATCTTTCTGAAAAGAACACCAATATCGCAATTATTCCTGGAGGGTTGACATCAAAAATTCAACCACTCGACGTATCGATTAATAAATCATTCAAGGCAAAGGGACGTTTTTATTTATTTTATTTTTTTTATTTATTTTTTTTTTAAATATAAAATAATATTTCTTTTATCAATAGATCAGGTCTATGTACAACGAATGGATGGCACAAGAAGTAAAAGAATTAACTGCAGCTGGTCGAATTAAACGTCCTCCCTATAATCTTATTGCAGAATGGGTTAAGCGCGCATGGGACGACATCGATATTCAACTAATTAAACGCTCCTTTAAGTGTTGTGGTATCTCAATTGCAACAGACAGATCAGAGGACCATTTACTTTTTGACTACGATCAAGTTGAAAATAATGAAATTAATGAACACGATCAAGTTGAAGATAATGATGATATTTTTTGCGATGGTAAAAATTTGATTTCACAAATTAAATTTAATATTTTTGTTTAACGAACTCTTCCATTCTTACAAGATTTTTTGCCTCATCAATACCTCCCACCTCAACAACGACTTCCGTTACAAGATCTCCCACTTCAGCAACAAAATCCTTTATCTCAACAGCCATTTCAACTTTCGCAAGTTTTTCCACCCAACCAATACCAACAAAACCGTTTACCTCAACAAGACCTTTTACCTCAACAATATTTTTTGCCCGAGCAAAGCTTTCCATCTCAATTAGATTTTTTGCCACAAGGTTTTTTAGCCCGACAAAATTTTTTGGCTCAAGAAGAGGAAATCGAATCTTATTATCAGGATGAGGTGAAAAATTATGTAAATCAGTGGTGGGAATAACTGTAATCGCACAAATTTTTGAAGTTTAAATAAACTTACCATCTGATATTCTGCTTGTTAAACCTTGAATCGAAATCGCATATATTACATGTCTAATAACAATTGTGATGGATTAAAATGAAAACGGATTAAAATGAAATCAGACTAAATTAAATCGGATCGATTAAAATGAGATATGCGTAGTATAAAAAATTGACTGGTAAAGAGTGCCATATGCGCATTTTTTTTTTTTAAAAAAAAAAAAAAAATTGACTGGCCACCAAAAAAATATAAATTTTTAGGGCACATTTTTAGGGGTTATGGGTTAAGGCTAGAGGTTAGTTTTAAAGTAGTTTATATTAAACAAGTATACCGGTAAGTGGGTTTTGAGGGTTAAATAGAAACCCATCTAATAAAAGCGAGTGAAACACGCAAAAATTAAATAACGTTCATCGCTTGAGTTAAAAAATAGCAACGTTATAAGTGGTTATTGATTCGTACCCGGGTACCTTACAAAATACAATAACAATGACCTTGAAATGTAC